CTATCTATCTATCTATCTATCTATCATCTATCTATCTATCTTAACAATTTATAAATGGTTTCTTTTAGTTGGAGCCAGAAGATCCAGATGATGGGGACCCTGGATACACCACCAGACCCAAACGTATTTTAAAGCCCAAGTCCCATCGAGGCCGAGCGAAGAAGGAGGGTCAGAGTCAGAACCAGCAGCCTCTGAGCTGCAAACACTGCAGGAAAACCTTCACCAAGCTGCTGCAGCTCAAAGCCCACCAGGCCGTCCACGGGGCGAATGCAGAGAAGCCTTTCCACTGCACTCAGTGCGGCAGAGGCTTTTCGTTCCAGCGAAGCCTCAATGCACACATGCTGCTTCATACAGGTGAGTGTTCAGCTTTATGTCAAACCAACAGCCCTGACGTAATACTGCCTTAAAAAGTTGCTATGTTTGTATCCATAAACACACACAGGAAACATATTTATATACTGTTACTCTTACAATACTTATTGCTCCCATATACAGGTGAGAGACCACACACCTGTGATGTCTGTGGGAAGGGTTTCACCCTAAAGCAGCTCCTGAGGAACCACCAGCGTCTCCACGCTGAGGTTCGGCAGTTTTCATGTGAACAGTGTGGAAAGAGCTTCTACCGAGCCCACGGCCTGAAAATGCATCAGATGGTCCACACGGGAGAGCGGGCCTATAACTGCCAGTACTGCAACAAAAGCTTCACAATACAAGGTAACTTGCAGCGCCACCTGCGCATACACACGGGGGAGAAGCCGTTCAGGTGCGAGACTTGTGGCAAAAGCTTCAACCAGGCTGACACTCTGAAAGGCCATCAGCGGATACACACTGGTGAGCGACCCTTCAACTGCGAGACTTGTGGCAAATGTTTCATCCAAAAGAGTGCCTTGAAGATGCACCAGAAGACCTCTCACTCAGGGGAGAACTCGCTGGCATGCGTGGCATGCGGCACTACGGTGGCCTGCGTGGACTCGCTTCGCAAACACCTCCAGACGCATTCGGCGACTATTCCGTGTACGTGCGTGCTGTGCGGCCGGCGGCTCAGCTCCATCACCGACCTGCGCTCACACCAGCAGCACCACACTGTGGACAGACCTCACAGCTGCGGTCTCTGCGGGAAGAGTTTCAAGTCGTCCAGTTACCTGAAGATTCACCTGAAGACACACACCGGGGAGAGGCCGTTCTCCTGCGACATCTGCGGTCGCATGTTTACGCAGCACAGCAGCCTTAAATCGCATCAGGTAGGTTTGCATTGATTTTTTTTTTGTAATGGGCAGGTTCAACAAGAGGGCCTGTTTAAGTGGAAAGATATCCAGTACCTAAAAAAGTACCTTCCTCAAAAAAGGTGGGACTCTAAAAACTAGCTTTCAATGTGATGGATAAAGTGTTGGTAATTAGTAACAACCAAGATATTTTATGGTGCTATATAATGGAAAAAAATAGAGACCTGATGTTGAGATGACACAGAAGCACAATTTAATCAAAAATCTCAAATATAATTTCTTTGTTCTTTTATTAAAAAGCACCTCAGCTACAACGTACTTAGGCCGTATTCAGGCCACTAAATCCTACACACTGGACCTTTGAAGGTCACTGTAACTGATGATAATGATAATAATGATTGTAATACAGTGAAACCATGATATCTGGCCATGACAACCTCATACCATTGTAACCCTAACAAGCAAGTACGAACACCTTCTTTCCCAATGTGGTTTAAATCCTTATACAGGACTCTACAGTTGAATGTCCTACATAAGAAAATGATTTTACAGTTTTACTTTTAACCTTCCTCTTCAAAGGCGGTCCACACAGGAGAAAAACCATTCAGCTGCGACACGTGTGGGAAATGTTTCAGCAACACGGGCAACCTGAACAGACACCAGCGTATCCACACTGGGGAGAAGCCGTTCAGCTGCGACACATGCGGCCGCAGCTTCAACCAGGGCAACAGCCTGAAAGCCCACCAGCAGATACACACCGGGGAGAAACAGTTCATGTGCGACAAGTGTGGAAAGAGTTTCTCCTACCTGAGGAACCTGAAGGACCACAAGTGTTTCTATGTGTGAAGCTGAACTGTGATGAGACACCTGCCCTGGTGGCAGAGTGGACAATGTAGCGTTCCCTGTTAAGGAATAATGACTGGATGGATAATAAAAGAAGAGTTTGCAGTGACAATGGTTTTGGTAATTATGAAGTTTAGTCTACCAGATTTGTTTTGTTTCACAACCAAGCTATCCTGAGAAAGGAGGTGGGGATAGATGCACCTTGTTGTGTTTTAAATTTAAAGGACCAGTGTGTAGCAGATTGGAACTAACTGAACACTTAACAATCTGTATTTAACAGCCTGGGAATGAGAACGGGCTATGAAGTGTGTAGG